CGTCCCTGTCCTAGACGGGAAGACGATGGATTACGCCGACGTCTCCAACACCTTTGTGCGCCTGGCGGACACGCACTTCGTGCAGAGGTGCCCGCTGGTCCCCGAAACCTCCCAGAGCCCTGACGCGCCACCTCCCCCGGCGCCCACCCTGGTGATCAGCGAGAAGGACATGTACGTCGTGCCCCGGCTGAACCTCGTAGGTGAGACACCCCTCGGGTTCATCCCGGGCGCTACCGGATGGTTCAGGGGGTGTTTGGGGGACATTCAGCCGTGTGCTGGTCACCTGAGGCTGTAAAAATTGTTTTTAAAAAGCAAACGCCGTCATCTTGGTTGGACAGGGAAAGGGAAGCGGAGGCGGTCGTGCGATGAGGAAGAGAGCGGCGAACACAAGGCAAAAAAGCTGAAGCAAGAAGCAGAAAGCTCAGAGGTACTGAGGGCGCCGAAGCGATGTTGCCCTCGGCTTGGCAAGGCTGGAAGTCGGAGCTGGGGCTGCAGCGCAGGGCAGGACACGGCCTGTCTCCCGCGCGTCACCTGCGCTGGGGACGCACCTCCTTCCCTGTCCTGCCAAGGCTGAGCTCCTTCCTCCTCCCCTGAGCTCATGGGCTCAAGGGATCCAGTGGCTTCCCAAATACATTTTCCTGGGGAAACCAAACAAGAAGTTTTGTGCCTCCTCTCCCTCAGTTTTGTGCCTCCTCTCAGTTTTATTCCTCCTCTCCCTCGGTTCTGTGCCTCCTCTCCCTCAGTTTTGTGCCTGCTCTCAGTTTTGTTCCTCTTCTCCCTCGGTTTTGTTCCTCCTCTCCCTCGGTTTTGTGCCTTTTCTCCCTCTCACCGTTCCCCCCCAGCCTCCCTCCGACGACGGCATTTACTGGCAAGTCAACATCGACCGCTTCCACCAGCACTTTCGCGACCAGGCGATCATCAGTGCCGTGGCCAACCGCATGGATCAGGTTTGTGCGAGCTCTCCGAAACCTCCCGCAGCCGCTCTCGGGGGGGGCTCGAGGGTTGTGGTCGCGGTGGGGGGGCTTTAAACCCGGCTCCGGGGCAGGCAGGAGGGGCTGGGATAAAGGTTCTCCCCCACCAAGGGCGGTTTCCTTCCCCCCGAAACCAGACCAGCAGCGAAATCGTGCGGACGATGCTGCGGATGAGCGAGGTCACCACGTCCTCCAGCGCACCGTACACCCAGCCGCTCTCCTCCAACGAGGTCGGTTCCTATCCCCGAGGAGTCGGGGTGTAGCCGAAGCCTTTCCGCTCGCACGGCTCCGGCATCGGCTCCGGATCGGGCAGGAAAAGTCTGCAGGGCACCTGCTGATTGAGAAAAGCTGCTTATTCCCATTCCCTCCACCGATATTCCGTCTGGTGTTCGTCCGTCCCGTAGATATTCCGGTCTCTTCCAGCCGGATACAACATCGCGAAGCAAGTTCTGGACCAGTACCTCACCCTCTTGGCAGATGACCCGGTAAGAGCCGCATGATTATCGTCCCTGCCCTAACGCAGGAATCGGTTGTGTAAATTCAACGCCGCTCGATGGCGGCTCCTCGCCGAGCTCCCGGCACTCCGAGGCTGTGCCACGCGCTGGGGACATCAGACCGAGGGAAAACTGGTTTTTGATTGATATTTAAAAGATACTGAAAGTGTTAAAAAAATAGGGCTGATGTTCTCAGGCTGTTAAGATCAGAGATATATATTTATTTTTATGTATTAATTTTTACAATCAGGATTTTATTTAAAAAAAAATCTGGATTTTTGTCACTTTGGGATATACTGAATATTTTTTTCTTTTTTCATCTTTTTTTCTAGCTCGAGTTTGTGGGGAAATCCGGGGACAGCG